GCTCCTCCCATTGAAGGATTTCTGAAATTAAACTTCGATGGGAGTAGTCAAGGCAACTCAGGCCCAGCTGGAATAGGAGGGGTCATCAGAGACAAGGAAGGAAACTTAAGAGCACTTTTCTCAGGAACAATGGGGAATGGAGACTCAAAGGCAGAATTGTACGCAGCCATACAAGGTGTACAGATTGCAAGAGAGATAGGAATGGAAAATTTGGTGATAGAAGGGGACTCCAAGGTGGTGGTGGGTTGGCTAAAAAACCTAGATTCAGTAATCTGGGCTTACAGAAATGAATTGAAGAAATTCAAATGGTTTACTCAGCAGATGGAGGTAACTACACAGTGGGTGGGGAGGGAGGCAAATGCTTTTGCTGATTCTCTAGCTAAACAAGGGGTAACTAGGGAACAGTTGTACTGGGCCCAATTGTAAATTTATGATGTTTCTGTATCAATGAGTGAGACTGCACCTCGCGCCTCATTTTGTGATGCTTGTAACGAACATTTTATCATTTGCTTCTAATGAAATCAATTGAATTTTATCTATCAAAAAAAATCAATATAGTCATCTAAATCTATTAACCTATTCTTTTGTATAGTCAGGAGAAAAAGTGGAACAGTGAAAAACAAAGTCTCAAGCAGCATAGTTCCAGCTATCCAATGGATGCACTTTGATCCATTAGATTCCAGTCCCCTGCATGTGAGCCAAACTTGTGCATGTCTTGGCCCAATTCAAATAAAATACTATTAGGCTCGAGCTCGAGTTCAATTCTAACTCTATTTTCTGGTTTGAGATCAGTTCGATTAAATATTCGATGAGCTCCAGTTTGGCTCAAAAGCTCAAAAATGAATATACTTTTATATTTTACAAATATATATGTATGTATGTGTATGTTAATCATACCAAGCTCACAAGCTTTCAAGCCAAACTTTATATTAGCCAAGCTTGAGTTCAAATAACTAACCAAGCTTACCTTGATATTCAAACTCAATTAGAATTGAACTTGAGCTCAAACTACTCAATTAGAACCCAATTCGATTGCAACCCTAAATATGTTACTCATAAAACTTGTCCCATGGATAACTTAGAAATCATCTTCCTTTAGCAACAACAGAACAGAAAAACACTTGACGACAAGGCATTTTTTATCACTCCCTAACAATAACCATCAAATATAATGATGCCCAATATAAAGCAGCATGAAGCATTCATAGATCATAAACACCTTGGTCATCTGCCAAAAATAAATAAATAAGAAAGCATACCTTTTTATCCTTGTTTTTCCTTGTTAAGCTATGATCCTCTTTCCTTCTTTTACCACTTTCCTTTTTCTGAACAAAGAAATGAAATCAATTTTTTGATAATTAAAGAATAAAATCAATTAACAGATCAAATGCAAGTTACACACCAATGGACCTTATCTTTTAAGCAAAAGTGAAGCTAAATGATACACTTTTATTATCAGTAAACTAAATTTTAATTTTTTTGTTCTGAGTACTCTTCTGCTGTCCCAAACATTTCTCCTGCCCCAACCAATGCTTAATTTGTTTCTCTGTCCCTCCCCAAAAAACAACAAAAGAAAAATTATTCTACAACATTCTCATGAGATTGCTCACTTCTGTAAATCAGTTTCAGTTGGATGAAATGCTGAAGAATGCCAAGATGCCTATGGGAGGTTATGCATAGCTTTCTAGTATGTATTAAACATGATAATTCTTTGTAGTTGCTAGAGAACTGCAAGTGAGAGCTCTTTTTAGAAGAGATTTCCATTTTCAGTTATTCCTAAAACCTATCAAAATTTTAGTTGCTATGACAAATTTGAGCACATTACATTCAAAAGGACTCTCAAACTATAACCAAAGAAGAACATAAGGCATATCGATCTTGTAGTAGCCACGGGCATCATTCTCTATTTGTAATTCGAAGGTATTTTTGCATTATATTTTGCTATTATTTAACATTTCTAAAAAATAATAAGTTGCATTGTGTGTGTGTGTGTGTGTTTTCTTTCTTTTTCTCTTTTTTTCTTTTTCTTGAAAGAATTATAGCTTTTGTATTGTGAAAAAAAAAAGACTTCTCAAGAGATGGTTGTTTTCGATTCAGTGAGATTATCTCACATGTTATGAAACAAGGTTGCCTATCATAAAAATAAAGCAAAGCACACATCAACATTTTGTGAATCAGATTGTACTGAAGCCAATAAAACAAACCCCTATGTTAGATGTTTATCTCCTCATTGGTGTGTTCTTTGTAAAGCTGATGGTGTGCCTGGTTACCACTTACTAGTATCCTGCCAATTTGCAAAAACTATTTGGGAATGGTTTACTTCTTTGTGTGGGTGCAGGTGGAACCCCCCACTGAATGTGCAAAACTTGTTTACTTCCTCTTCCTTCAACTGGCCAACAAAAAGAGGAAGGATTATGTGGAGATGTGTTCGGGCTGCCATTTACTGGACTATATGGGAAGAAAGAAATTCAAGGATTTTTTCGGATAAGGAGAGGAGTCTAGAAGGCGTGCTAGAAGTGATCCATTGGCTGAAATCATTGGACTTGTTCACAGATTTTTCAGTGGAAGATTTGCTAAGGAAATAAAAAGAAATTGCTAGTTCAGTCTCTGCTAAGAAGACCTCAAGTCCTTCTTGGGATCCTCCACATCAGGGTTATATTAAGCTGAATTTTAATGGTAGTAGTATAGGAAATCCAGGGGCTTCTGCTATTGGGGGAGTTCTAAGAAATGAGAAAGGGAATGTAATAGCAATGTTCTCTGGCCCAATTGGACTGCGAGATTCTCTGAGACAGTAGTGAGCTGGTTAAAGGAAGACAACTCTAGGCTCTAGAACTACAGCAATGAAAAGAGAAAGTTTAAATGGCTGACCAAGGACATTGAAGTTAAATGCACATGGGTACAGAAAAGCGCAAATTCTTTCGCAGATGGGTTAACTAATCAAGGGATGAACAGGGTTTCTGTTTTCTGGGCTCAGATGTAACTGCTTTTCTTCTTTTTTTGGGTATCTGTTGACATCTTTGGGGAGTAAAGATAGTTTAGCTCCCCTCCTCTATAAGTTAAGTTTTCTCTCTTAATGAAATTTCCTATTATTTATCAAAACATAATATGTCCATAAAGATATACAAGCAATTGAAACCACATCCAAAACGAACTTCTCAAGATCAAGTTATTTAAAAAAATATCATATAGACACTCATAAAAATCAACTGCACTTAGTGGTTTTCACCCATGAACAAATTTTACCAGAAGAGCACAAATTCAGTCTTGACGGTTTTTTTTTCAAAAACTAATATTGGACCACCTTTTTCGATAGATAAAATATTGGACAACTTTAAGGCTCAAAAACTCTTAATATATGGGGAAATGAAACATGTAAGTCTAATGTCATAAACTTCTGACCTGAAGAGCCAGAAAAAAAGTGGATCAAACCCCCTACATGGCCTGCAGACCATATTGTGTCTGTAATGCTTGTTGATAGTATCAATGATTCAATAAAATAATTCAGATAAGAAGTATTACATCAGTGCTAAGAAGACCCTTTACTAATGACAATAAAAATTTCTGAACTTACCGTCAACCATCTACAGCGCAATGCCACATCACGCACTGTTTTATCTTGTAATTGCATAGAAATCTTTGCATACCTGACTATATTGGATTCAGAGACATATCTGCAATGTTCATTGTACCACAGAATCGGTTAAATATGCACTGGTTCATATAGGAACATGAGAGATGGATTAAATGCATACAAATTAAAACTAGCTAGAATATCCAACCCAGAGAGACCCAAAATATTTAACAGAAAACAAAGATAAATCAAATAATACTGCTTATCTATAACAATAGAGTTTGATGCAGTTTCAACCTAACTTTGGTTTTGGTTGATCTTCAAACATTTGTATACCTACAATACCCCCTTCTATTTACACATTTTCCCATCTTATTTATCCTTAAACTAATAATTCATTAATAGGTCTCTATTCAAACTTTTATATATTTAAAGTAAAATATCGGTGTTATTTATATGATTTCCTATTCTATGATCTCTATCCCTGTTTCTTGTTTACGCATCAATTTTAACCAATCATTTAAACTTTTATCTGTCTAAAATACCATTGTTATTTGCATAATTTCCTATTCCATCCTCAACTCTTGTTCACGTTGCAACATTAGTCAGCAATCAAACTACCATCCAAAAATTTAATCCATTTATTTTTCTTTCTCCACTATCTCCTCTTACACATGCAAATGTGTGTGCCACTACTCTCTCTTCTTCACATGCAACACAGTTAATCCTATTAAATATTCTTGACAATAAATCTGATTGAAATATGAGAAAGTAGAGAAGAGAAGGGAAGAAGAGAGAAAGGAGAAGGAAGAAAGGAAGAAGAAAAAGTTTGGAGCAATAGAACAGTGCTGGTGGTGCCAGCTTTTATTATATTATATAGGGCGGCAGAAATAAGAAGGGAAAAGACCCTTGTGCCCCTGCTGTAAGTGAGTACAATAACAGACATAATAGAAATAAAAAACAGAAATAAAAATGCTTTAACTAGCCAAACAGACCCTAACACAAATAACTAAATTATTTCAACACTCCCCCTCAAGTTGGAGCATAAATGTCAATCATGCCCAACTTGTCACACAAATTATTGTGCCGCACATGATGAAGACCTTGAAGGGATGAGAGATCCATCATATGGACAGCCGAACACTGCAGGAAGGTAGGGCAAAATTTCAAAATTTCTCTCTCTCCCATCTGGGAATCACATTCCCTGTTTTAGAAAAACTGCATTTTTCAATGATCAATCTTGAACCAAGAACCAAACCAGATCTGAACCAAAATAGTAGGAGAGAGATATACTTGATACGAAGAAATAATATCTTCCAATGGAGGTGTTCACGCCCAAGGAAGGATCCAAAGACTGCTCCCACTGAAGATGACACAGTGCAGGATGGAGCAGAATCAGCAGTGTTCTTCCAAAGAACCAAATCCTTCACCAAGA